CATAACTCCGCCCATTTTATGTGCACGCGCTCACACTATATATATACTATATCCATATATACATAGCTGTGACAGCAGAGAACAACAACAACAATGTCAACTGCTAACTGACCACTAACTGGTGATCATCTTCCTCTTCCTCCTTTTCCTCCTCTTCCTCCTCCTCTCCTTCCTCCTCTTCTTCTCCTCCTCCTCCTCAGGTTCTCTCAGTGATGATCCTCTCTTTCCTAAGTCTCCATGGCCGAGCACCTCCCTCTGCTCCTCCTGCCACGAGGAGAAAAATGGCGTCCACGTGTGGAACCATGACAACGTGCTTCACTTCCTGCGACGACACTACGGCGCCGCCAGCCTCTCCCCCCGCTACTCCCTCACCCCCCCACACCTCCCCGCGCCTCCTCCTGAGCACGCTCAGAGCAGCCGGCCGGAGGGGGAGGAGCCTCGCCGTGGCAACCAGGCGGTGAGGGAGGAGCAGAGGGAGGTTCTGGTGCGGCCCGGAGGCTCTGCGTGGATCCTGGGCTCGCTGGGCTTCAACAGCGTGGACATGAGTCTGTGCGTGCTGCTCTACGTCTGCTCCTGCCTCTTCCTCATGCTGCTCTTCTTCTTCTTCAAAGTCCGGTCCAGGAGGTGGAAGCTGCGAGCCGGCCGCCTGCACGTCTGACTGGACCCAACGGAACCGGGCGGTGTAACAGGGTCAGGGCTGGTTCTACTGGGACGCTCAGGGAGCCTCCAGCAGCGATTGATGACTCCATCAGTTACCAGAATGACTGACTGAGTCACTTTTAAAGTTTTATTTTATGGAACTAAAGAATCCGGATCAGAACCTGCAGCGCCTTTGTGGTGTCAGCTGACGTTTTTATTTACGGTTAAACTCAACAAAAGAAAATAAACTACGACTGTCGTCCCGTGAGGAGTCTCCATGTTCTCCCCGTGCAGCGTGGGTTCTCTCCGGGTTCTCCGGCTTCCCCCCACAGTCCAGAAACATGCTGAGGTTCACTGGTGATTCTAAATTGTCCGTAGGCGTGATGGACTGGTTACCTGTCCAGGTAAACCTGCCGTCAGTCGGCTGGGATAGGCTCCGCCCCCTGCCACCCTGGGGAGGACTGAGGATGTCGAGGTGACGGACGGACCAGCACAAACTAAAACATAAACACTTTGTTTTTGTTTTATTTCTAGAAATGATTTTATTTTGATTAGATTTTTAATTCAGTTTTATTTTTTTAATGTTATTTAAAAAGTTATTTTTTCTCGTTTTACTTTATTTTAATTAAATATTTTAGTTTTGTTTTATTTAATTAACTTAATTGCATTTCATGACTCTTATTTTATTTTATGCAGCTTGTTTTATTGAACCAGGATGCAGCATCGCAGCGCTGCGTCCGGTTCTGTCGGTTCCGTCGCCCGCGGGCCTCAGCACCAAGGTCCACAACAAAGACTTGGGTTCAACCAACAACAGTCCGTCCTGACGGCCATTCAGCTGTTCGTGCTGCTTTTCTGAATCAGAACCAGTTCTGACCCAGTTCTGACCAGGTTTAGTGTTCAGTGACTCTGTTGTGGAACCGGGTCTGGACTCTCAGATTTGATGTATTTATTTTTACACTTCAGACTCGGACAGGATCTTTGGACCAGGTGTATCACACATGGACCGGACCAGATCTCTGGACCTGGTTTACATCCCAGAATCCCTCAGGAGGGATGTGAAGGATGCAACGGGAGACCGGAACCTGAACCGGATCAGAACCTCCCAGAGTTCACTTTGTGCCAAATGTTTAACCTGTGACACACCTGACCTTTCAGGCTCCACCCCCTTTTATACACACTGTGTGTCTGTGTCAGGACAGAAGCAGGTTCGGGTCAGAACCAGAGTGATTGTATGGAGATGAGCTGGCGCCTCCTGCTGGAGACTGAATGTGAAACAAACAGAACCAACAGGAAACGCTGTGGTCATGTGACCACACTGATTCTTTCCTACTTTTACACATAATTTCTTAGAACCCGACTCCCGCTGGTTCAGAACCAGGTCCAGAATGTTGTCACGCTGAAGGCAGATGAACAGAACTGACCTGAAACCAGCAGCTGTCCTAACAGCTGAGACTCAACTCAACGTTTTTAATGAAGTGTCTGAAGGATCCCATAAAAACTCTCACATCAGGTCTCCAGTCAGAGTCATTAAGTCAGACTGAGTGGAACCGATCAGCTCCGACGCTCCGGTCCGGTCCGGTCCAGTCCGGTCCGGCGGGTCAGGAGGAAGCGCTGCAGACGAAGCGCCACCAACACAAACAGACTTTATACAATTTAAAACAGCAAAATTTAAACAGTCAAATTAACTCATATTAACTTTGTCCCAAAATAACAAACTAGAGTGAGATAAAGGTTCCGACGTTTTTCAGTATTAAAGGAAATGTTCTGCCGGTTTTAACTCCACTGAGCGACTCGTCAGAGTTGATGTACAGCCGTCCTCACATGGATTCATCCCCTCCCATTAAAGAAAAGGCAAAACTCACAACAGTCACTCAAACAAGTAATAATAAATAAACATTAGCTAAAGTATAATTCAGTGAAATAAGACGTTGCTTTGAATTGTGGTTGGAAAGAATCATTTGAAGAAACCAAACTGTGGTGGACCAATGAGAGCCAGAACACCTGTCAACAGGTGCACAAGTCTGACTGAGAGCTACAGGAATCACCTGATGGCAGTGATTGGCTCAGAGGGTTGTTCAGCTAGATACTAGTTCACGGGTCCATCAGGCTGGTTTGCTTGTTTTTTTTGTTTTTAAAATATCTTTCTGTTGAACCACAATTCAAAACCAATGTTGTGATGTTCTTTAAATGTAATTTTGTTATTTAGTGAATGTCACCCTGTGTCAGTGTGGATTTCCTCCTTCAGCGGGAGGCTGTGAATACATGTGAGGTGTTTGGAGTTTGTAAATAAATGCAGACAGAAAAAGTCACAGTTAAAAAATCTAAATAAACTCATAAAGACACCTGAACAGTGAGCCTTTTACAGTTTTCAACGTTTTCGACCTTGAATATTCATTTTCCAGAACTTTCCAGGACCTCCGGACTTTGTTTTTAAAGCAGCAGAACCAAACGCTGCTGACCGTTTCCTTATTAGTGAAACAGGATTTAAGTGATGTGAAAACGATCCTTTTACACTGAAAACAACCGCGAATGTGAACACGACGTCATCTAAGAACCGGTTTAGCTCAAGTCACGGATGAAACGGTTCACAAGTCATTTTAGATGAAACCTGCTCACAGTGAAATGTTCATTTAAAAACATGAAGTGAATATTTTAAAAAGTCCAAGAAGCAGCTCAGAAACTGGATCATCAAGCATCAGTTCTAAAACCTTAAATGGAAAAATAAAGTTGTTGTTTTTTTCAAAATCTATTTTTAATTGCATTTTTTCAACAATAAATGTCTATTTTGTGTGTTGTCATCAAACAAACTGTATTTATTTATTGTCTACTTAGCATTAAAATCGTAGCTTTTCTTCTCGTTTGGGTTTGTTGTTATTTTTGCTTTTTATTTTGTTTGATTTATTTCTTTATGCCCTATTTGAATTTCACTTTACAATGTTTAATTTTTCAGTTTAACTGTTTGTATTTTATACTTTATTGTGGTTTGATGATTAGAGGTTGGTTTTCTGGTGAACTCGTCCGTGAGCAGCTCAGGTGTGTCTGTCTGCAGGTAGACGTGTGAGACGCTGTGACTGGTCTGAATAAAGCGTGCTGCTGCAGCTCGGACTCCTGCTCAGCCTCCTCCTCACACTGATGCAGGTTTCTGTTCCAGGTGGTTTACTTCCTGATAACGAATCTCTCAGATTAGAACCAGACAGGTTATCTGTCAACACGAAAGAGTAGGAAAACTGCAACCATGTCTGAGTCAACACAGGTACAAACCAGGAGTGATCAAGTTAACGTGATCAGGTTAATGTGATCGGGTTAGTGTGATTGGGTTAGTGTGATCGGATAATGTGATCTGGTTACTGTTATCAGGATAGCATGATCAGGTTAGTGTGATCAGGATAGCATGATCAGGTTAGTGTGATCGGGTTAGTGTGATCAGGTTAATGTGATCAGGTTAGTATGATCAAGTTAGTGTGATCAGATAGTGTGATCAAGTCAATGTGATTAGGTTAGTATGATTAGGATAACGTTATCAGGTTAGTGTGATCAGGTTAGCATGATCAGGATAATGTGATGAGGTTAGTGTGATCAGGTTAATGTGATCAGAATAATGTGATCAGGTTAGTATGATCAAGTTAATGTGATCAGGTTAATGTGATCAAGTTAGTGTGATCAGGTTCATGTGATCAGGTTAGTATGATCAGGTTAGTGTGATCAGGTTCATGTGATCAGGTTAGTATGATCAGGTTAGTGTGATCAAGTTAATGTGATCAGGTT